AAAAACAACTCCCAAAAAAAAAAAAAAAAAAAAAACACTTTCACAGTGGTAAATTAAACTCTATGCACGACTGCGCTGCAAATGACAGTAAAGGAGGAAGTGCCAAAAAAAGACACCAGCCTATGGCAAAACAAAAGTAGCAACAGAATAGAACAGATCAGCATTTTACCCATTTTTTTGTTTTTGCACAAATTTAATTGAATAACTTCACAAATGATGCTGATCCAAATTCATTTTAATTAAACAGATGTATTGTATGAAATTTTTATTTTTATCATAAATTGCATGCAGTTACCTCTTTTACAGGAGTGTTTTATAAGGAGTTTTTAGTCATTTTAGCCATATGAATATCAACCCAACCCAACACAGATAGAAAAGACATTCCCTTAACTCTGGGAAACTCTGAAATAGAGTATAGAATAATAAAGAATTTATATAGTATGATGTAGAACATATAGTGTACTGACTGAGCAGAACAGATAACAGAATGGAAGAGTATACAATTTACTGAGCAGAACAGAGTATAGAATGGAAGAGTACAGAATTTAGAGTATAGAAATACAGTAGAAAATAGTAAAAAAAAATATATATACAGAAAAACAGTAGATTACAGAATGTTGAATAGAGTATAAAAATGTAAATATAAGAGTATAGAATAGAGAGTAGAGTATAGACCAATATAAAGATTATAGAATATAAGAGTAGAGTATAATAGAGTAGAATAGAGTTGAATAGAAGGGAAAAGTAGAGAGGAGAAGAGTGAAGTATAAAGTTTAGAAAAGGTTGTAAAACAAAGTATAGAACAGCAAATAAAAATAGAAGAGTGCCGAATATGCAATAGAAGAAAACAGAAATACAGTATAGAATAGTAAAGAAGATTATAAAATGAAATAAATGAGAATGTAGAACTGAAAAGATGATTATAGAGAGTAGTATAGAGTTCTGTATTCTATTTCTTACTGGTGCAGAGGAAGGCATCTCTAGTGTTGATGGGTTTGTTGCACTGCTGGCAGGGGATTGTGGGTACTGTCATGACCACAGTGAAGAGATGCCCGTTTGAGGCTCTCTTCTCCTTGTCTTTGGCATCTCGCTCACGCTCCTTATTCTTGTCCTTCTCCTTCTCCTGCAAAATACAAGACAAAAGGTGAATGAATAAATCAGAGTGTAGATATGTGATGTACAGTGTTTTCAGACAGTCCGAGCTGTGCATTAGACTCAATTATAGTGAGGTCCCTGCCCAGATGGGAGATTAAATGGGAGTGGAGCACATCCATCATAAAACTCCCAGTGTCAGCAGAGCACTGGGAAACCTCATCAGCTGCATAATCAATACTTTCATTCATATACCAGCTGCAGGGATGAACACGCACGTTTGTATTTTCTCAACATCTATCTATCCTCAATATCACATTTACAGTATTCTCTCTGTTCTCAACATCATATCTACTTACCCATCTATCTACCCATACATCCATCCGTCCATCCATCCTCAATGTCAAAATCTATCCATCAATCTTTCCATCTGTCCTCAATATCACATTATTACCATATCATCCATCCATCCATCCACAAACCTACCCATCCATCTATCATCCACCCATCTTCAATCTATCTACCATCTATCCATCCACCTATTTAAAAATTGATCTACCATCAATCCATTTACCAATTTACCCATCCATCTATCCACCCATCTACCTACCATCCACCTGTACCTATCCATTTACTCGTCCATCCATCCATCCACCAACCTACTCATCCATCTTATCTACTCATCTATCACTTCATCTACCTATCTATAAATGTATCTACCCATTTATCTACCCATCAATCCATCTACCAATCTACCCAGCTATCCATATATCTACCCATCTATTCATCTACCTACCTCAACCACCCATCTATAAATTTATCTACCCATCAGTCAATCAATCTACCATCCATCTGCCCATCGTTTCATCCATCTACCTACCCCAACCATCCATCCACCTACCTATAAATTTATCTACCCATCTACCTACCCACTAACAATCCATGTACCAACATATAAATGTATCTACCCATCTATCCATCTACCCGTCTATCTTATTTATTTATCTGTCTACCATCATCTCTCTATCCACCCAACTACCTATCATCCAACCATCTACCCATCCATGTAGCCATCTATCCATCAAATACGCTGTCCTTTTTCCTTGTTTCTTTGACACCTTGCATGAAGTCAAAATCACAGCATGCTCACTCCATTACAGTGATGTGCTTGAGAACAAAGATAGCTCTAGTGGAGAAACAAATTGTGGCCATTTTTACAGACCACCCTGATTACAAAACCCTGTCTGATCTGCTCCAACAGTCACATACTAAGATTGTGATCATGTGCAAGTCACAATGGGAAAACAACAACAACAACAACAACAAAATACTGGCAGCATTCAACTAAAAGGATTAAAAGCTGTCTGATTAATTCTTAATATCCAATACATACTAATAACAAGTAAAATGCTGCTGTACATTTACTGAACTAGTATTCCAGTGAGTATAGATGGGTGGCTTAATATCATAAAATGATTTGGCTACAAACAGTATAGGAAGGAAGAGGGTTAAAGTGCACTTCCCAAAAAGTTTAAACATGGCTAAAACGTATAAACATGTCCAAGCAAGTTCAATAATAATAAAAAAAAACACTATTTCAACAACACAAGTGATTTATGTAGGCTAATTCACGCCATTCTCAACTGGAGCGAAACAATGATCTCGGGAAGCAAAAAATAAGCTGCCAAGCCACTAAAATAACACATTGCAAATCAAACCTCTAAAACATCAGAACAGAATATCAAACAAATGTCTATTTCCAATATACATGATGAAAAAAATCGAACATCTGCTCTTTGGTAACGCATTCTTACCTCAACCAGACCACCAGTATTCTTGATCTTCAGTGACCGACCCTGCGGTAAAAACCTACGACACAACATAGACATCCCAGATGCGAGGTAGCCAGTGAGCGCACTGGCCTGAAGGTATGGCAGATGAGGTTAAGAGTTTGTCTGCACAAACACATAAGTTCCCATGACAGAGAGCAGGCGAGCCAGCCAGAGGAAGTGACTGCAGTTTCTTTCTGTCGTCTTTCACATTGGGGCTCAACTTAAAGATACAGAGCACTTCCTTTTACCATAGACCCTCCCTAGTACAAGAGGCAGCTTTTTGTTTGTGTTGTGACATTTAGCCAATTCAATATAGATCGAAATTCTAATCAACACTGCAGTAAATTCAGCCATGTGACAGCCAAAGTGACCATGTGACATCAAATAATTGTGATGCATCCTGTCTACATCACTGGCCTCGTTACCAACATAACACTATGTTAAAAAAAAGCATGTGGCAAATTAATGTGTAGGGTTTTCTAAGGTCAAAATATGTGTATAAAATCCTAAAGAACCATGTTTAAATTCATAAACCATATATGGTGGCCCAGCTGATTTATGTGGACATCAAAAAAAATGTCACGAAGGTTCTCCGAAACTGTGAAGTCATAGATTTTAACATGTATTTGTTTTCACAGAATTGCATGAGCTGTAAAGCTGAAGTGTTAGCGAGTATATTTAAACAGAGCCATAGAGAGACCACAGCTTGCTTCTGCATCCTGTTGAACTTCCCTACCGCGAGCCTTAATTTGCCTGCGCAAGAGCAAACTCTGCAAGTGCTCTAGCAACTTCAGATAGTGCGGGGGTTGCTGAGAGCTTTCACACCATCAGCAACCTCATCATCAACAGGAACCACAGGAAGAAAACCTTAAAGTTAAATAGCAGGTGCATGCTGCTGCATCAAAGAACACCATTAGATCAGCATGATATGTGGCAAACTATAACGATAACATTTGTTTCCACTAATAAGATCTAAGATGGTTTAGATAAGCCTTGAAGGAAATGTGTTGGTTTTCGAGCGGAAGAATTCTAGTTTGAGTACAGCTGAAACACATACACACACATATACATATATACATACATATATAGTAAAGTAAAATGTAAACCAACCTTGTTCTTCTTGCTCATCTTGCTCTTGAGGTAACTGAAGGTCCTGCTCACTTTGGTTCCTCCAACTTTTCCTTCACTGTCACTCCGCAACGGCCCCGGATCCTCCTCTGATATACTGAATGAGACAAAAGATGAAAAATGGGAAAATATAAAACTGGTCCTGCATCCTAATTTGCATACTATCCATTCTTAACGGTATTTAAAATTAGAATGAGTGTGCCCCAAATCGTAGCATGTTGAAATGAGTACGTACTGCTTCAGTTCACTCCAGGAAATTAAATGAAACAAATTGTGGATGATATTAACAGTGACAAGACGATTAACTGTGACAAGGTATGTACATTTTCTTGACAAAAAGAGTACACATTTTTAGGGCATAGTATAAGTATGCCAACTATGACACAGCATGAGTATGTTAAGGTCTGTCAGAGCTTGGGCCTTGCAGTTATATAGCAGTTCTGTCTATATAGGTTTGAGTTTAAATCTGGCTCACATTTCTTGGTTCCATTGCCACATAATCTGGCTCATAATTTTTACTCTCATCTCATCACCTATCCATACCAATAAAACTGACAAAAAAGCTAAAAAATATAATGAAAATATTAATAGCCTATTAATATAATAAATATTACAAATAAATAAATACTTGGACTTTAACATAGCCAATTATCATGTGATGCAGGGGTCGTACCTGTACTCTAACGATCCTGATGTACCTGTGAAACGAGAGAAAAAACACTGATTAAACCAAAAATACATTGGAGACAAGACGACGACTAACTAAACGACATAAACGAGACCACAGAACAACAACTGACATTATTAATAACTTTTCAGTGAGCCTCAAAAGTTTTGTACTTGTACAAAAAGACATTTCACAAGAAGTTTTATGGCGTGAATAGATTCTAAGTCAAAGCCCTGCAGAGAACAAAGGCAATTCTTCAAGCAAAACGCCACATTTGTACAACATTTAAAAAAGCTTAAAGAAAAACATTGTACTGCAAACACAAAAGCTTAACTGTGAGAGATGAAATGATTGATAATGTTTTGCAAGGACTGGAGAAACAGGCTCATATTGTGTGATTTATTTATTTATTTTTTTTGGTCTTGTGTAATAAATGATTATGCTGTGTTTGTACAATAGTTGTTTTTTTTTGTTGTTGTTTTATACCAGTGTCAGATGAGTACATAGCCAATTATCATGTGATGCAGGGGTCGTACCTGTACTCTAACGATCCTGATGTACCTGTGAAACGAGAGAAAAAACACTGATTAAACCAAAAATACATTGGAGACAAGACGACGACTAACTAAACGACATAAACGAGACCACAGAACAACAACTGACATTATTAATAACTTTTCAGTGAGCCTCAAAAGTTTTGTACTTGTACAAAAAGACATTTCACAAGAAGTTTTATGGCGTGAATAGATTCTAAGTCAAAGCCCTGCAGAGAACAAAGGCAATTCTTCAAGCAAAACGCCACATTTGTACAACATTTAAAAAAGCTTAAAGAAAAACATTGTACTGCAAACACAAAAGCTTAACTGTGAGAGATGAAATGATTGATAATGTTTTGCAAGGACTGGAGAAACAGGCTCATATTGTGTGATTTTTTTATTTATTTTTTTTGGTCTTGTGTAATAAATGATTATGCTGTGTTTGTACAATAGTTGTTTTTTTTGTTGTTGTTTTATACCAGTGTCAGATGAGTTTGGCTTAGATATATTCAGTTAAAGAAAAAAAAGTGTAAATAATGATATTAAACCAATAAAAATGCAACAAACTATGAAACATTTTTATTAGTTCCAGTGTTGGCGTAGTTACTGCATTTAGCCTTTAGGGGCAGTATAACTTACTCTGTATAATAAGCTTGAAAAAGACAAAGTATATTAACATTAGGCTATTAAAAAAAAAGCTTTAAAAGTCAAATGATCCTGGAGCTAAATTAGACATCTAAAATTACAGATACGGATTTGTAATGCTTTTATACCAATAAGTTTGATCTTCAAAAAAAAAAAAAAAAAAAAAAAAAAAAACAGCTAAGGAATTTTCTTTTTTTAAATTAGCCATTCCTTTTTACAATTTAAAACGAGCTCTAAGCAGCTGTGAAATCTATAAGCAGTGCTATGAAAAGTGTTTATGTGGATCTGAATGACTTTGAAAGACATGGAAAGAGATGTGGCAATGTCTCATTTGGGAGACCCACTATCCATTCGTCCAATAATCCACAGGAATGAATGACTAAAGTATGCGTAAAATACCATTCTTCTGTCAGATGAGGGGCTGAGAAGAATTGGAATCAAAAGCATTGCAAACACACACGCCCGCCATACATAAGCACCACTGTGTTACAGCGGCTGTCACAAACCTCAGTACTCAAGCGTGCAATGTACTTTGAAATATCTGCGCCATTAAACCAAATGTATTATAATTCAGGAAGCAAGTTATAACCTTATTAATTCAACTAGTCTTAACTTTCTCAGAAAGATTCTCCTCAAAGTTCTGTTGACTGTACACTAAATGCATCAGCAGACAACATGCACATCATACATATAAGTTCATTAAGTTATTGCATAGAGAATTTTAAAAGCTGTTTCATTATTGTGGCACCTCAGTCATTTAGTATACATTTTTTATAATTTTGTTTTAACCCATAAGTACAGTAAGATAAATCCAACTAGATGAAACACTTCAGATCAATACATTTCAACAGTGTCATAAAACCCAACAACACATGGGGCAATAGAATTAAAATTAAAAAAAGTATTAATTAAAAAATATTAAATAAATAAATAATTAAATAAATACATCAATAAATAAATGAATGAATGAATGAATGAATGAATGGTTGTTTTAGAAATAATTTCAATGAGCCGATCTGATCAATAACTTAGTGACACAAGGGAGGTAGGGGGACACACTTCATATTAAGCAGGGGTCGGGCAGGGGCCACGCCAGGCATTGTGGGATATTCTTTTACTTACTGACAGCCTCCTCCTCATCACTGGATGAAGAGCCAATAGAAAAGAGTGTTTTAGATTTGGGGAGCATGGGCGAGATGCTGAAGGAGAAGGAGATTCGTCGCTTGGGTCGCGGCCGTCCGATTGCTGGTGGGTTCCATGATCACATGAGCAAAAAAGATCAAAGCAGGCATTATAATAAAACTAGGTGCTAATACACTGGCAATAAATGTCCACTCCCTTAAAGTGACACCACAGTGAAAGGGAACCACGGGAGGTCCACATCTGATGAGTTGAAGAATGCCAACAATCCCAGTTGATACAGGATATGTTTGTAGTATAAAGGTCCCAGGACATGAAATCGGGTGTTAGATATGACTGACAGGAGGCGAGTGGTCAGTGTGTGGTAATATATGACCGAACATTTCCACTCCTTATCTTACCACAAGAGACCAGCAGAAAAAACTAAACTCTGAACTCTGCGACATCTGATCTAAAAGCAATTTTGAAGCTTATAAAATTGTTTTAGCTTATAAAATTGTTTTGTTTAAATATATGAAATATGTTGATTACACTATAGCACTCAGAGCAGTGCTGCAGAGCTCAGAGTGGCCCAATGAGACACACAGGAGAGAAAACCGAAGAGGGTGTTTAAACTCACCATCCAGATCTTTGTGACTGATGGCCAACATGGAGACAGACTTGGTGAGAAAGGGTTGTGAAGGTGGGACACATCTTCGTCCAGACTGGATGGACTTCTGAAAGCAGTAAACAAATCAATTAATCAGGGTAATTAAATGCAATAGAATTAAGACTACAAATTTAAGTGGAAAATCTGCAGATGCAACTCTAAAAAAAAAACGCATTCAGCATACTAGAACTGACGCACTGCAGGATTTTTTAGCCTTCTCTCAAAACATGGGATTTCCTTGGCAGAAAGGAAGATTGTCAGTAAATTATTATCAAATGGACCTGGACAGTCAATTTACACTGTTGTTGCATGTAAAAGAGATGCATAAATATTAAACATTGTCATCTTTTTGGCTAAACTAAGGCTACGTCCACACGAAGCCAGAGCTTTCCCTATCCGATCTTTTTTTCTCCTCGTCTCAAGAAATATCTGCGGCCACGCAAAACGATGTAGTATACATGCCAGACTAGCATGTGGCGCTGTAATTCTGCCACAGAGATACACTAAAAACGGAGAAGACAACTTGGACTATGCGCATAAACCTTGTGCGTGGTATACAAACGAACATGGAACAATACATTTATTAATCTGTGTTAATGTTAGTTAATAAAAAGACAATCGTTCAGTGTTTGTTCATGCTTTTGTTGCTGTTCCGTGACGTAGTGGTGTCTGACTAGGGGTGAGACGTGGGCTGATGACGTCATCGTTTCAGAAAATATACGGATTCGCTGTCCACATGAAAACGCAAGGGTGGCGTTTTCAGATTTATCCACTCTGGGACCCGGTTTCACTCTCCCAAAACGCCGGTTCAATCTGGACGAAACGCCAATACGATACAAAATGTATGCGTACACAGCTAAACGCGTCTCCTTGTAGATGGGGCCTAATGTTTAAACAGTGTTGTTATAAGACAACTTTTAACAAAAACTGCATTTAATAATTATTTTATAATATTCTTTTATTTTATAATCATATATATTTCTTTCCTACTAATAAAAATATCCACAATAAATGCATACAGATATAAAATTATATGATAAAATATTTAAAATAATTAAAAATCTAGAATATATAGGTAAATCTAAATGGTTTTAATAATATGCTTACAAAACAAATATAAATTCAAATGATATTAACATATACAAAAATAAAATATACTAAATATTTATAATATTAAAATATACAAAAAATAAACTCAAACTAAAACTATAAACTAAAATAATATAATGATAAAAATAATACAATATTAATGTTTAATTAAAGCTTTAATAGGTTTTGTTACATTAACACCGATTTCAGCTGATGTGAGGTGACAGGTGCAATGTCTGTGAGTGTTGCACAACCAATCAGATTTTAGGGCTGGATCTATCCATTTCTAAATAGTACTTCACCTGACTGTCCAAACTGCTGCATTCGCCCAGGTCTGATTCCTGTTCCTCTTCTGTCAGGGACACAAGTGAGCCTCTCTCTTCTCTTTCCAGCTTCGACGGACAGTTCGATTCCTGGTTGGCCTCCCCCATGCACTGATTAAGGCTTTTCCTTCCTTCCTTCTCTGCTACAAGTCCTTCCAGGCTGTAACTGCGAAAATAAGCATATTTGATTATGCTTGAATTTTATTGCGGTTCAGTGCTAAAAAAAAAAATTGAGATGGTGACTACATGCACACACCGAATCACCACAGATCTTTTACCTTGCTGTGGGTGACATTCAAATACACACAAGATAAAGCTAGACGCAAATCCATTCAGATTCACATGCACAAGAATCAAATAACAACGAGCACAGGTCTACTAGCAAATGATGACAATACAAGCTTGATCTCAGTCTGTGAAAGTTCCACTGACACACGCTATACAACCAGCCTTTTGACATTTCCTCAAAGCAAAATCATTCAAGCTCTGCCACAGAAATGGTTAGCCATTTTCCACATGGTGAAAACTAAAACATCTTACAGCGTGTTTGGATACTAAAAAAAAAAAGTTAGAATGTCACTGAATTACGTATCAAACCAAATAGCATATATTTTAAAGAAAAGCAATCAAACCAATCACTTCAATAAAAGTTATTTGTTGGGTTTTAAATGAGAAAATCAACAGATATACAGTTCAAATTAAGACTACATATATTTGGATACTTCTGGTTGTCAAACATTATTAGTGTGTCAATGTTTTGCTTTCACATTGTGAACTTGAGGGCAAGCGACTTGTACATCCTTTTTGAGATCATTACAAAAATTACTCAGAAAAGTGAAGTCAGTTCTGAAAAAGCATAATTTGTTTGCAGATGCTACTTGGTATCATTACATGTAATGAAATTCAATTTAAGTGCAGCATAATAAAATAAATCAAATACTTTTTGGGATGAGTGTATGTACAAACTACATGCTAATATATACATTCTAATATATACATTATATATATATATATTAGAATATAATTATTTAAATTTACTTACACCTTATTGTTCAGAGCAGCTCAATATAAGTGTGATGAGTTCTGAAATTCGTTCTAACAGGAAACACTCGAAAAGAGTGACAATGCGATAAGAAAAAAAAACTAAAACTTCTCACCTCTCATCAGGTTTTGAGATCCAGATCAGTATGTTAGTCATAGTTCACGTTAATTAATACATGATGTGTAGTTTAATCTACATCTCTAGCTAAACAAATTCATTTAAGTGGCCGGTTTGTCTCTGTCTCAGTCAATGAAATCAACGGAAATTACTGCAAGTGTTTGTGGTCTCAGATGTTTGTCCGGAGAGACGAGCAGACTAAACCATAGAGAGGAAGTAGACTAAAACACACAATGCATTATGAACACATATACACCACTGTCTTTAAAACACACTATTTGTGCTCCTATCAAGCAATTCATGCCGTACCACAACAAGTTGTTAAAAAATTTTAGACACACTTTGTCCTTCTTTACCTTCTTCCATTTATTTCGTCGTTTTCTGAGTGCGGGACAACTGAAGGACACCAGCTCATGCTTCATTGAGTGCATAAGAATCAGGATGATGGATGGATGGATAGATAGATGGAAGAAGGGATGTGTATAAAGACAAAAAAGGAACTTGTTAGTACAAGGTCTAAAAGAGGCCCTTGGATGTTTAACCATTACATATCTTTCTTGTATGCAACAACAAAATGTGAACTTATTTTTTAGATAGTTGGCAGAGAAACTGAAATAAAAAATAAACACTATATATACACAATTAAAAAAAACAAAGTCAAAAACAATAAAATGACTGAAACTTTACATTTACATACAAGTGAAAAAAATAAATTCAAAATATTAATAAAAACTATAATAGTATCTCACAGGTACTGTATTTTCGGGATGTTTTGATGGGATCTGTTAGTGATTCACCCCCCCCAAATTTTTACATGGATGAGCCAAAATCATCACAATTAAAAGAACCAAAGACTTAAACTACTTCAGTCTGTGTGCATTGAATTTATTTAATACACGAGTTTCACAATTTGAGTTGAATGAATAAAATAAATGAACTTTTCCACGACATTCTAAATTATCGAGATGCACCTGTATATATATATATATATATATACACAGACACATATATATACATACATACATACATATGCACACAAGTGCATCTAAAAAAAATAGGATATAATGGAAAAATTCTTTATTTTTTGTAATTAATTCAAAAAAGCTAACCTTCTTATATTCTAGATTCATTGCACACAAACTGAAATATTTTTTTTGTTTTAATTCTGATGGTTATGACTGATGGAAATTTCAATTCCATTTTGAATGGAGCTTGATTAGATTTATTAATTTTGAGTATAAATACTGGGTGTGTATATGTATATATATATATATATATATATATATATATATATATATATAACAAATGTACAAACAATAAATAAATAAATACCAATGAACAGAGTTTACATTTGAATAAACGCACACACACAACCATGATGTAAACCAAGATGTTCCTCTTTTCTGTCTTAGAGTATTAGAGGTCATCTGACTGTTTATTATAAGCAGGAATACAGTCCTGTGTGACCTAAATACAGCTCTTTCTCACAGAACAGCTGCCTGCTGACAAAGCCCTCAGAGGAAGGGCCCTCACACTACTGGGATTTCCCTTCACAAACAGTGTCACATACAGACTGTAAATGATTCCGAGCTGTACACAAAGTAGAAGTAATGCCAAGATGATGGGACAAAAACCAAAACTGAGCGACTGCAAGTATAAACTCAAATATAAAGCATATCTGATTGCATTATAAAGACAGATGCAATGAATGATTAAAGGGCAGGTGGGCGGTTTGTTGGTAATAATGCTTTGATCCTATTATCAGATGATTTACAGGAAATGAAAATGCCGGGTGTCTGTCACATTTATAAGAAAGAAAAAAAAGTTACGAGACGTGTAGGCCAAGTTTGGAAACCCATACTTGAAATTTGTCTTCTGCATTTAACCCATCTAAGTGCACAAAACACACATACACTGTGGGCATAAACCCGTGCAGTGGAAAAACTAATTTTGTTTTTGTTTGTTTCTTTATATGTAGTGTTTCTCTTATTCATAACATATAATGTGATATTTAATTTCACATATTAAATAACATTAGCCTGCTATCTTAGCATATTGTTAAATAATTAGGCCGTTTCTCAATATGCGTTCTTCAGCGATCTTGCATCCGGAAGCCTGCAAGTTATAAACTCGCACTCGCAAATACTTGATGGCTCTTGAAAGTAAACATTTATTGTTTTGTTTTGCTTAATTTTAATAAAGTTATAAGACCTGGAGAAAGTCTGCAGTATTTTTACTGGCATATTAAAATGAATCTTAACATAGTCAGTTAAACATATAACGCTGTAAAATAAAACGAAATACAATTATATGTAAATAATATCTATAATAGTATGCAACGTTTTAATAAGTAATGACATTTGTTTGCAGTTATATTTATGGTTTATTGGCCGCTGCTTATGCTGTGACTATGCGGTCAGTTAAGCAAGAACGCAGCACATCGCTGTGTCCTTGCGTCCTTTCGAGTTCGTTCTTCCAAAGAAGCTTGGCAAGACCGGTCTCCACGAGAACGCAAGTCCATTCTTTGCGTTCTTGGAATTGAGAAAAAGCCTTAGTCTGGTAGCTTAGCATACCACTAGTCAATTAGCATGCTATCTTAGCTCTTAAAGCTTTAAATGCTATATTTTAGTTATCTAAAAAAAAGTTTTTTGAACACGGTAGCGTGCCATCTCAACATATAGCTATTCGATTAGCCTGGTAGCTTAGCATAGCTCTAGTCAATTCATGTTTTTGAACAGTCATTCTGAAGGCTACCTTTCAGTGTTTAAAGGGGTACAGGATTTTCTAATTTTGCACCACACTGGACTCCCTGCGGAAAAGAACAGCTAAACTAGCATATGCAGGTTGGCTGGTCTTTGCAGGTTTAAACTGGTCACACTGGTCTCCCAACCTGGGAAAGCTGGTGTTCAGCTGTTTTTCCAGCCTGATCAGCTAAAGAAGTGGTCCAAATCCCAAAAACCAAACCAGCTATGACCAGGCTTGAAGACCAGTTAAAACCAGCCAACCAGCATAGGCTTGTTTTTGTATGCTTTGGATTCAATCCCTAAAACCTTCATTTTTAGAGGTAGAGATTACCTGCGTTGACCAATCTCACTCTCCCCCGCTGAATTTTTGCCTGGGCCCCAACTGTGTCTGCGGAAAGGGGACAGGGACCTTATGGAGGTGCGTAAAATGGCCGACCGCTCCGGGACCTCTGTCAAGCGGTCCTTTTTCTCTTCCTCCTCTGTTTCTCCTGATGCTCCAGGAGATGTGGGGTTTTCCTGACAGGGGTCTGATGTAGGAGCTTCTGTGCTGGCCTGAGAGAAGGCACTAGGGGTCCCAAGGCTGGAGGTGTCATCTGTGGAGGACGAGTAGGACATGGACACACCGCTGGTGATTGTGACGCTGTCCTCAGCCTTTGATGGAGAAAGAAGAGTAGAATTGGAAGGAGTTTGCAAAAACAAAATCACAGTTGATGTTTGGTGACAACTAGGAGGACTGGGATTTTGGACCAACTTCCCAACCTGACATAATGAAAAATCGCACGTTGCGCCTGGTTACTTAGGACAAGCACATTGTGAATTCTGCAAATGACTGCTGATGACGTACCACCTTCACATCTGTAGTTTACATGCAAGCAGACTCTTCTTTCTGCAAACCCCATGAAGTCTCAGAGTTCTTTCCATCCTTGTAAAGCTTACATAACATAGAAACGCACAGCTCTGACACTCATTTCCATTCACAGCGACTCATTAGTTTCCTCGCATGTTGAGACCGCAGCCAAGCAGGGGTGTGGTGAGCTAGCGGCTACACTACACTAACCGTAATAGATGACTTTATGAGCTTTAGAAGGGGAAAAAAACACTTCCAGAACACAAGTCAAGCTTAGGTGAAGTGACTCTACCTGCTTTTGAGGCTTGGAGAAACTGTAAGCAAGCTACGTGAATTCCCACGTACAATTTCAGGAGAAATAGTAGGCTAATTTTGGCGTCATATTAATGTTAGCATACTATATATTTTTATTTTCCGAGAAAAAAAATAAACAAAACAAAACAAAAAAAATCAGTGACGACATTTTGTTTAAAGAGGCATTTAAATTCAAAATTAATTGTATACTCCGTTTCTGTTCAACCTAATTGGTCAACTATTTAGCTTTGTATGTCGCTAACTGATTAGCCTGATAGTTTAACTTAAAGGGATAGTTCACCCAAAAATGAAAATTCTGTCATTAATTACTCACCCTCATGTCGTTTCAAACCCGTAAGACCTTCGTTCATCTTCGGAACACAAATTAAGATATTTACAAATTCAGAGAGCTGTCTGACCCTGCATAGACAGTAATACAACTGAAATGTTCCCAAGACCAGAGACGTAGCAAGGAGATCTGTAAAATAATCCATGTGACATAAGGGGTTCAACCGTAATTTTACGAAACTATGAGAATACTTTTTGTGCGCAAAAAAAAAAAAAACTACTTTATTCAACAATTAGTCTCCTTTGACAAGCGTCAAAGTCTGTGTTAAACATCTTTAAATTAAAGCAAAGCGGTTAAGGGGTGGAGGATTCCTCGGGGAAACTCTTAAAGGAGTTGAGAAATTAGGATGAAGCATGTCTGAGGATGAGGTCATAATTATGGCCTTCACATGACGTCAGTGGTGCAAGATGTTGTGTGTAGAGGAGCACTGCTGAAAATGAGACCTATTACATAACCGCTTTATCTGGCCGAGGCACAAGCGAGGGGTTCCTCACATGGTAAAGAGACATAGAAACAAAACAAATAGCAACTCTGCTTCGAAAACAAACACAGAATTGGGTAATATGGGAAATGCAAGACAAATCCGCACCCACCTTATTATTAAAAACACTGTCCTCGCCCAAGTCCTGACTAAACAGAGAGTCGCCATCGCTGGTGGACCCTCGCACGGTGCTAGCCGAGTCTTTGTTACGTACGCTCTCAGGTGAGGGGGTCGAAGGGGGGAATTCTGAGAGAAAAAAAAGAATTTAAAAAAACATGAGAGAGCTTAAGAGCAAGAGAAGAATAATAAATAGAAAAGAAAACAGACCAGACTCGACTCTCATGAACAATCATTATACAGTGAGTCTGAAAGTGACTCAATCCATTGTGTTGCATCTCTGCTCGCAATCGTCGCAGACAGGATGTTGATGTAATCTACTTAAATAGATTATCTTATTTGACTAGTGGAGTCTTTTGTATTGACAGGAAGACATTCATTTAGTCTTTGGAGGATGTGTATGCCGTTTCCCATACGACACAATGAGGGCACTATTTAGATCAGACACACACAGAAACAGTCTGAGCAAAGATGGCATCCTTTCTTTGTAGAGTGCTGGAAGATGTATAAAAGAGATTTGTGTTTTTTTTCTGGATGTAACTTTTAACCAACAACTAGACCGACGTGATGCAACGTTGTGTTGACGTCAAATGCCGTACATCAAATTATGTGGTATTTCAGTGTAAATTCATGCATCACTTTAGACAAATTACGTAGATGCCCACATGGACATCCTCAAAAACCACTAACATTTGGGTTGCCACTTGATATTCCAATGCAAAATGAGGGTTTTGAAGCAAAACCAGTTTAGAAGCACTGATTTGGCTACCTGAAATCACTGAAGTGGATTTCTTCTCCTCAAGTCCAGCATCTCGACTGGCATCAACTGGATAAAACGTCTCTGTCTCTCTGTGGATCTGCAATGACAAAATCAATTGAGTTTAGAGTGTCATTTAATATACAAAATTATTTTATACACATAGCAGAACATTTTATATTTGATTTTGTATGTTCTGATCTTAAAATATGTATACTTATAATATAAAATCCCTTGTTACATGTTTAAAGCCATTATAATCTAAACACGGAGTGAAATAATTTGAATATTTATTGTGCACAGATGATTTATATCATATCAAGTCCTTTAGTTGTCGTCACTTCCAACACAAACAATAATTCTGTCCCAAACGTTTCTCAAAAAAGCATGTTTAAGATAAAATACCGCGTGAGATGAAAAAAAGAAATGTCAAGGTACAGATCATATGTATATATATTTTTATTGTGCATCACTGCAAATACAGCTGTTTTAATAGCATGTTAGCTATGAATTTAGCATTACCAAGACAAGGATTCCACCATTTTATTACAAAACTGTTTAAAATGTAATTTTCCCAACTGTCATTCTATCACAAAATCAAATTAAATTATTAAATGGGGATATGGTGGAAGTTACATTAGTCGGTTCAGTACAAAAGAACAAAAAATGAGAGAAATCATTTAAAAAAAAAATTCTCTAGATCCTATAGCTGAAAAACCATTTATATATTCTCAGGTTCGTTCATCTGCTAAAGATCCTGCTGGAATCCAGCAGGACATACTAATGCATCAGGTGAACGATGGTTTCCTCTGCTACCTAAACGCACGACAAGTATGTCAATGGTTTCGTCTTGGACGGCTAAAGCATTTTCCTTCGACCACAAAATTAACTTTCTTGATGAAGAAAGGCGCTCATGAACAGAAATATTAGCAGAGGTAAGAGCATCTACCTCCTGAGAGTAACATGTGGTTGGAAACCCTCAAGGCTGTGATGTGGGGCAGGAATGGTTTCTGGGGGCATGTGTGGGGTGTTCAGAACAGACCTAGAGAGGAATGTGACCCATATATAAACATCACGGCACACTAACGTTCAACACAGAGCAGCTGTGAACAGGCCGTAGTGGGTTAGCTTGAGGCTACTATGAGGACTAAGTGGTCACTATACACTTTTCATTTATCAAACTTAAGGCTTATGCATGTCATATTAATTTAAAAAATATACTAAAATATAATTAATTTATATAAAATAAATAAAAAATTATATATTATATATTATATATATATTATATTATATATATATTGGAAAAACAAATGTAAAAAAGTACTTCTTGAAAAGGTACATTTTAGTTAGTCTAATATTAAAGAAAAGCTACAACACGAGCTGTAAAGTAGCACAAGAAGATCAAAAGACCATGAAAATGAAGAACGTCCCTGTGGCGGAAACAGAAGCTTAGAAACCTTCCTGTGCAGCTCATCTGTATGACCATCATCAGCTTCATTCATGACTGATTACACCCACCCGCTGCCCATCGTGAGCATGTGACACACGCTCAACTCCCAAGCTTAGTGTGAACCCGCAGTGTGCACGCACGTGTGTCTGCTGGTCATAGGCCTCCTTTGTTTGGTCATTGGTGGATGGACACTGGTCTAGTGTGACAAGCAAGAGAGGAGTGGGCTTTTTTCAATAGAGCCGTCAACAGCTGCAGCCTTTTAACTCAGAGAGAGAGAGAGAGGGATGAAGAGAATGAGAAATAAATACTGAAAAAAGGAATAAAATGGGGGGGAATAGCTGGTTGAATTGGTTCAATTAGGTTTGGTCGTGATTCTCTGACCTGTGGTCATAATGTCAGAGCTGCAGGTTCGAATCTAGCCTGCAACGTGCCCCAATTCCGTTTCCTTCATTTCTCGCTATTAATTTTCAGCCCAAGGAACAAGAAACAAAAACAAACCAAAAGCTAAAAAACAAACCAAGCAAAATAAATAAATAAATAAATAAAAATAATTAAATAAAAGCCCAAACAAAACAAACATTTTAAAATAAAAACTCAGACAAATAAATGAAAAAAAAACTATGAAACAAATCAAACAAACAAAAAAAAGAAACAAAATCAAAAACTGAATCAAATAAAAAAACACAAACAAAAAAATAAATTACAAAACAAAAAACCCCTCTCCCAATAAAAAACTAAACAGATAATTTAAACAATAAAAACAACAAACCAAACAATCAAAACTCAAACAAAAAAAGAACACAAAAACTAAATGGACAACTACATAAAAACAACAAATAAGCAGAAGCTAAATCAAACAAAAAAAACTGAAGAGACTAAGTTAAACTAAAGGAAAAACAATAAATAAATAGGTTGAAATTGTCAGGTGACTTTTTAATTTAATTAGTTTTGCCACTTTTATTTAAGAGGATAGGAAAAGATGAGGGAATCGATCAGTAAATGACAACAGCTGGATTTGAACTCTGGTCGCCTGCCACCACATAACATGCCAGACCACATTTCTGATTGTTTCTTGATCACACACTATCATGGCATCAAGACTAGTAATTCAGGTCTGTAATGTTTCACTGCTGTTCATGACAACATGTCATTTCCAACCACAGTAAGTTCTGACAGGATCCAGACAGCACCGAGGGACTCACACCAGCTGGAACTCAGACGAGAAGGCATGTTATGTTTCCTGATCCCAGAACAGATATCAACCTTAATCTGACAAAGAAACTCAAACAAAACCATACAAACACACATAATGCACACTGTCCCCAATCCTTCAATCTCTGTTATGAATGATAAACTTGTCTTCGAGTGGGAAAGCAAATGAAAAGTCTCAAGTACAGAGCACTCAGTTTCAACCGATTAAACATTAGTTATCAACGCCAGGGCGCATTAACCATTGGGCTAGGCGGGGCTGAAGCCCCGGGGCCCAAGCAAGGAGGGGGCCTGTGATTGGCTGTGGAGTAGCTTGAAGGACATCGGTAGAGCCGATCGCCAAAGCCCCACCATGCCCCTCACTTTTTAGTGCTATTATTTAGTGGAGTTTTCCATAAATTCCATGCATTACCATTAGAGATTAAAACGTCACATTTGAACTTGTTTTACCAATCAAATGCATTTATTATATATTTTGCACGTAGCATATCTATCAGGTGATCGCTGTGCCTAATGTCTGCATTCACGTCTCTTCACTTCATTCTGGTGTAATCTAGAAACAGTCATGCAAAGAGCAATCTTCGATAAGTAAAAATGTCAACTATTCTAAAAAAAAAATTGTGAGAGAAAAAAAATGAGTAGAGAGGTGGAAACATGAGTTAGTCACTAAAATCCACAGCTAGTTTATATTACTAAAGCTGATGATGGAGTGGGAGTTGTGGAACCGCAAATGGACCGGACACATGGAGCAGATAAAAACACAGCGTCATCATCCCCACAGATTTTAGGTTAGTTTGATTATTAACTTGATAGATGTATAGTGCTTTTTGTGTTTGCACAAACTCTATAGGGCTAGTATTCGCGTATGGGTTGAGAAATTCATTTTGCGCATCATGATGTAAGCTTTTCATTTAAACGTACTTTAAGCATTGTGGTTTAAAACTAATTTAACTGTTCAAGGACATTAAGCAGTGGGGCAGAATTCATTTGGGCAAATGTGCGCGTTAAGACGGTTTCTGATACGCGTGGAGCGCAGTTGCTCGTACAGCGCCTGACTGGAGTTATTTTTCACGCCTTGGGTTTAAACGTTCCAACACACATAGTTATGTGTCAAAATGTCTGTCTCCGACCTCGTCAACACAGTTATTTGTGTCTTAGATGAACGTTAATAGTTAAAGATAAAGCGTTGCTCGTACAGCGCCTGACTGGAGTTATTTTTCACGCCTTGGGTTTAAACGTTCCAACACACATAGTTATGTGTCAAGATGTCTGTCTCCGACCTCGTCAACACAGTTATTTGTGTCTTAGATGAACGTTAATAGTTAAAGATATGTGCAATAGTTGGCTATTATGCGATCCTGGCATTATATGATGAGATTTTAAAGGGATATAGTTTACCCAAAAATTTAAATACTGTCATCATTTACTCAGGAAGTCATTGGGGCACAGAAACTGTTTGTTTTTTTATATATATATATATTTTTTTTTTTGAGATATTGGAATTGGTAACAAGAATTATGAAACTTTGATTGGATAAAAATCATATTTTAAGCTATATGATTATTGTGACGGGGGGCCCTGCAGTAAGTCATAGCCCCGGGGCCCAGTGAGGTCTTATCAACGCTTATGGCTGTGTGTATCTGGATGTATACTACCAAGCGCTCAAAAATGTGTTTATGCACACAAATTTGCAGAGAACCAGAAATCTAGCTGGGATACTGCTCTGATATTTTATGTTAAGTTTCACAGCTTGGTAAAAATGGTAATGGATGTAGCAGACACACAGATAAACACTTCCAACCAGACACCGTTTCAACCAATTACTGAATGAGCCGTGAAAATCACTCCAAAAATGTGGCACATTGAGCCAGTGTGCAGTAATGGAAAGCTGTAATGCCTCACACTGACCGAATGCTCCACTGAGAGCACTTACATGTAAACATGCCATATAGAGGAAACGGTCAGCCAGAGTCCTGTTCTTTGATCATGACTGGTTTGATTAATTTTATGGATACATGCTTTAAGGATAACTTACAAAGAACTAAACCAAGCATAAATAAAGGTTTGTCAGGCCAGCTATGTTAACAGAGCAACATACCTGATTGATCAACTAATATGGATCTGTTTATAATGATTAATGCTCATCTCAAAAACAAGGTGGCCCGATATAATGCCAGTGTATCTGTATGTCAGCCATTATTATTTATTCCATAAGCAAAAGTGTCCAATAATTGGGTTATTGAGAAAAAGGTAGGGCCCTATGAAAAAACAGATGGAAACGTGGAATCCAGGCATAAAAACGGAATTTACTGTATAACGCAGAATGTCATGGATTGTGCCAAATTTTGGATGGATAAATCAAACGCTGGTCAGTACACTTAAATCAAAATGCAATATGGACTAGTGTCTGTGAAGACTAAGCTGCAAAAATACTAAATATG